ACACACACACACACACACACGCACGCACACACACACACACACACTCTCTCTCCGCACCACATCGGGCATCACACGCACTGCTGGGCTCACGTGCAAAACATGCGGAGACCAATCGGCGGGCCGAAATCCGGTGGACTAAAAATCAGGTAAGTACAAACTTTCGGAGGTTCGCGCTGGTGTCTTGGATCGGCGCTGGACCTCCTCCCTGGCGCGTGGAGCGCGCATAAGGCAGCGCCGCAGGCGCGCCCCGGCGTCGATCCGAGAAACCCGCGCGGACATCTGAAAATGTATGTTTATGCCATGGTTTGGACCTCGGGAACTCGAATCAGAAACGCCCGGATTGCAGAAATCAGATCTCTGGTGGCAACTTAAGGGAGCCTCCCATATCATCTTGTCGGCTCCTGCGAATCGACGCTGATCGATGCCTATCGACGCTAAATCGACGCTAAATCGACGCTGATCGACGCTAACCGACGCTAAATCGGCGCTACCTCATCAACTCTCAAACGCTAATCGACGCGACTCGCGGCGACAGACGGAATTCAGAGGGCACACATCGGTCGGAAGAAGTAAACAGAAGCATGAAGTAGGAAGGCGTCGAAAGTGGACTGAGTGTCCGTCCGCACCCCAAGGAGGACGGAAAAGGTGAAGCCACCCGACCATTGTGACGTAGCAGGGCGCTTGGAGCAGATTGGCATCTGGGAATCCGAGAGCACCTGCTTTGAACGATCGATGGGCACACCAAGCTCCCACGCTGTGCTGCCGAACCCCGGAGATCCGATGTCATGATTGTTTCAATACGGGGTCCCTGGAAGTCTCGACCCATTCCCCAGGACCTGCTTTTCATCCCGAGTTGTTTTTTGACGCTCCCGGGGCCTGGCGAGGGCTGCCAGAGGCCGAAAATCGAGAAGAACATCTGCCTCGATGTTTTCAATACGTCGGAGGTCTGGGACCCATCCTCAGAGATCTGGGGCGATCCTGGCTCGGGACGCGGCCGGGACGCGGCGGCGCGACCGCACCCGCCGGCGCGGGCGGGCCCGGGGGGGGAAGCCAGGAGGCCGAGGGCCGCACGAGCTCGGGCATGTTCACCGCCCACTGCTCGAGCGGGACGTGGTACTCGCGGGCCGGGGGGGGGAACCGGTGGGAGGCGGAGGAGGAGGAGGAGGAGCAGGAGGAGGAGGAGGAGCAGGAGGAGGAGGAGGAGGAGGAGGCGGAGGGGAGGGGCAGGAGGAACAGGAGGAGGAGCAGGAGGAGGAGGAGGAGGAGGAAGAGGAGGAAGAGGAGGAGGAGGCGGAGGAGGAGGAGGAGGAGGACCCAGACTTCCAACGCTTAGAAGAAACAAGAAGGAAACGTTTCACCGTTCTCGGCCTCTGGGGGCCACTTCCCGGGACCCCGTATTGACAACAAAAAGAAGACATCGGATCTCGGGGGAGGAAGGGGAGGAGGAGCAGCAGCCAGAAGAGGGGGAGAGCAAAGGCGAGGAACGAGGAGGAGAGACCTGGGAGGAGGAGCGGCGATTGAGAAGGAGGCGGAGGAGGGGACCGAGCAGGGCAGAGGTGGCAGAGGCGGGGGCGGGGGCGGGGGAGGGAAGGAGAGGGAGAGGAGGGGGCGAATGGAGGACGACGACGACGACGACTCTTAGGACGAGGGCGAGAGCAGAGAGGCAACCCAGGTGCGCTCGCGCCACACCCGACATTCTAGGCTTCCCACTATGTAATTCATTTCCAATTGCGTTGAAACCCGTTCTATTCGCCGGGTCGGGTGTCGAACTGGACCTTCATCCCCAGGTAGCACCTGCGGTGCTGGACACGTCATCCACGGTGTACAGAAGGCAAGGTGCGCGAAATGGGCAAACTGTTGCCGAGGCCTCGAAGAACCCAAGACGTAGAGCCAGATGCGGAGTGGGAAGAGAGGGGAGGAGCTGGCACTGGCGGGGGCGGGGGACAAGGTGAGTGGGGGAGCAGCAGATGGAGAAGGGAGGAGAGGAGAGCGAGATAATTCCGTATAGGATTGACTCGGCTGAGATCACGCGTAGTATCAGTTCAGAGGTTAGAAAGGTGTACTGCAGAGCAGAGGGGCGAGCAAGTTCGACTAACTCGTATTAGGGCTCCCGGCATAGAGCGTCAAAAAATCAAGCTGGGCAGCGAAGCACCAGAGCCAGAGCAGGAGGCAGGAGAAGCCAACGACATCAAGCAAGGGCTCCTTGACGATGACGATCAAGCTATCAAGCCGCTCGCGCTGGAGGCTTTGCCACAAGACGATCCAGACGCTGCTCCTCAGCCGCTTCCAGAAGCTTCTGGTGCCGAAGCGGCTCCTCCACCTCCAGTTCCTGAACACCCTCGCGTTCCCAGGCCCAGGTCAGGCATGCAACGAGAATTGACGGAGGAGCCCAAGTGGGACATGAAGAAATGGTATGACATCAAGCCATAGTTGGATCTCAGCAATGTGGCCTCCAAAGTAAGTAGTAAACGACAAAAGAGAGATCCTGCGGTTATTCCTGGGACTCCACACCAAGTTCTGGCATGCGCCAGTACCCGAAATGATCGTTTATCTAAAAAGTACTGAGTGCTGCACGAATGCCATCGGCGCAGTGATCGCGCTGGTATCTGTGGCATGCCCAGTTTGCAGAGATCACGCGCGACCCATGGCATAGCCGCAGGCAGGAATGACAGTGCCAAAGCGACTCAATCATCGAGTTCCGCTGGTCCTAATCTTCGTGTGGGACAAGACGTGGCTACTGATCAAAGACGAACTCTCACAAAATCAGGTGGCTGATCAGCTCATGGACACTGCCCCCCCCCCTTGAGCGCCGACGGCAGCGCCAGGACGGACGGTTGGAAGCCACTTCGGCAAAGCTGCCCCGTCTATAAGGGGATGTGCGCACCGCGCACAGAGCGATCCGCGCGGCATCCGCAAGAATCCGGCTTCGAGCGCATGCCACCATTTCTTCAGGAAGTACTTCGTGCTAGTTTTCTAGAATGGCATCCATAGCTAATGGGGACCCCCCGGGTGAAGGCGCCGCTGGAGGCTTCCCCATGAGGTGCGAGAAATAGTTGATCGAGGCCACCCATACAGTTGAGGTATCAGCATATGTCGTCCGTCGACAGACCAACGCGAGCGTGGCCTGCTGGGCAGCCTGCCCTTCCCATGCATGTCTCGGCTGGCGTCCCACGTTGCATCTCGTAGCGTCCCCTTCCTGGAGAAATGTAAGCAACCCTGTGCGAGACTCCCGACACACGTCGCATCCAAGTCGAACACCAATCCCGTTGTCGGTTCCGACCGCGAACCCAGGGGATCGCGCCCTGGAAAACAGACCTTCGAGGGTGTGGAGGTGGATGCGCTCGCCGCTCACGAAGGGCGGCGAGGAGCAACCAACCGAACCGCCCAGGGACCGGCCAAACTACCAGCTTCACTATGAGACGGCCGACACGGGCAACTGCTCGGCCGCTGCTGGAAGCGCTGACCCCGTGGCCTCAGGGACATCTCTCGGAGGCGGCAACCGACCCGCGAGTAGGTGGCACCATCCGAACACTGCCCTCGCCGATCCACCATCGGCGAGGGCAGTGTGCAGAATGCGCTGCCGAGCGATGCAGGCGGGAAAGGCCCAGCCCGAAGCCCACGCTCCACGAAGACGCGCGCCGGGACCTCGAGCACGACGCCCCGGGGCCCGGGACCTTCGCGCGTTTTCGTCAACGGGGGGGGGAGCAGCAGCGCACGAAGGCCGAAGAAAGGCGCACCTTTCGTGCACATATCTGGCCCACAGGGGCAGTCTCGGGGCCCTTCGGGGCTCCTTCTCGGGCCACTTCTCTCGATCCCCCCACGTTGAACCTGCCCGCCGTCCCTCCACCCCGCCCCCCGTTGCCGTCCTCTGGGCTGCGCGAGCACACCGCGACGAACGCTTTTCTTGATTCTGGGGCCCAGGGAAGTCGCTCGTCCCCGGGCGCCGCGGCCGTCGGGAGACTGCCCGCGGCGAGCAGCAGTGCCCAGGTAGCAGGGGTCGAGAGTGTCGGGCACGCGCCGACATGGACGAGGGATCCGTGGATCTGGCGCGTGGGCGCCAGATCGTCGGGTCGGGAGAGGCACCCCCCGAAGCGTGAGGCCAGCGCCTCCCGATGTGGCGACGCGGCGCGCCGCTTCTGCGTGGAAGCCGGACGCGCCGCTGCGGTCGGGAACTCTTGGGTAGCGTCTCGCCTCGGCGGCCCCGGCGACGCACTATGCCTTGGATGGCGCATCGCACCGCTCCGCAGGGCGGGAGGCTGGGAAAGGCTCGGAGCGTTGAGCTGGGACGTGGACCGCGTGTCGCGCCGGCGCGCGTTGGGCCAGAGCCGGCGGAGCGACACGCCATCCAAAAGCCCTCGACCGTGATCCGCGCGCCTTGGTCCCCGTGCTCGCCTCCCCAGGCGAGAGCCCCGAGGAGAGGCCCGCGTCGTGAGCAGCAGGAGGCGGCCCGAGGCAATCCCGGGGACCGGGAGCCGGGGAGAGAAGAGCGGGGCGCAGCGGCAGGCTGGCAGGGTGCCCCAGGGGGGGGGGGGGCGGCGAAGGGCCGGTGCAGGGGGCACGGGGAGGGCGGGGGCGAAGGGTGGGCAGAGGGGGAGCGGCGGGGGGGAGGGGCTCCCCGCCCCTCGTCCTCCCCCCTCGCCGTGCCACGCGCAAGGGCGGCGCCCGAGGCCTGCGGGGTTGGCCGCGCCCCGCCGCTTCGTGCGCGCGCGCGGCCTCCCCGCGCGCCCCTCTGCGGCAGCTCGTGGGGAGGCAGGCGGGCCTCTCTCCCGCCCGCCCTCGCCGCTTCGCGGCGCCAAGAGCTCAGGGTCAGCGGCCACCCAGGGGGCGTGAACCTCGAGATCGTGGCGCTGCGAGTCGTTCGCACCTGGCGTTCCCGCCAAGAGTCGGGCCCCGGGGCCCTCGCAGGTCGGCTGGCTCGGGGCCCCTTGGGAGACCAAAAGGTACCGACACGGCTACTCCACGGACCTCTCCCAGCCTGTGTTCTGACCAGAACTTCGAGGCGAATCCAGCGGTGGCGACGAGAGCCTCCCAGGAGGTCCAAAAGGATGACATCGAGGCAGGGGTAGTGGTATGTGTATACCTGTTCCTCCTCCGAGTCCCCGTCGTGATTTCTGACGCTGGCGCGTACCTTTCGCGACGTCAGAGCTCCGAGGCCGGGGCACCCGCACTACGCAGAGGCGGCGGCGGCGGGCCGGCGCGGCTCAGCCGCCGCCGACGAGCTCGAGCTGACGCGGGCCTGCGCCGCTCGAGGCGTGGGGAGGGTGAGGGGGGGAGGGGGGGGGACGGTGGAGGGGGTGGGACGGTGGGGTGAGGGAGGGGGAGGGCGGGGAGGGGGAGGGAGGGGGGGGGGGGGGAAGGGTCGGGGGGGGGGGGGTGGGGGGGCGGCCGAGGGGGGGGGGGGGGGGGAGGGGGTCCGAGGCGATGGCGGGGAGGCAGGGGAGGGGAGCCACCACTACCGCCACCAAGACCACCCCCTCCACGACCACTGCCGTTCTGCTCGACGACCACCGTCATGACGGCCACCACGGCACGACGCCACGGCGACCGCCCCCCGTCGCTCCCGTACAGCCTCCCGTCCTTCCTGCCCTCCTCCTGCCTGGCCTTCGCCTCCTCTCTTCATCCTCCTCCTCCTCGGCGAGCAAAAGTCAAGCCGTCGTCGTCGTCGTCGTCGTCGTCGTCGTCGTCGTCGTCGTCGTCGTCGTCGCCGCCGCCGCCGCACTCGTCCTCGTCCTGCCGCGCGGGCCTCCGCCACGGGCCAAGCATTTCCTCCTCCTCCTCCTCTCTCCTCCTCCTCCTCCTCCTCCTCCTCCTCCTCCTCCTCCTCCTCCTCCTCCTCGGTAATTCATTCATTTTTCGTTCGACGGGCTTCCACGGATGAGTCTGCTCCGCGATCTGACTTTCCAGATATACACATACAGCTGTCCTGGGGAAACCAAAATGCACCGACACCGCGACTCCCTGTGCCTCTCCCCGGGCGCGTTCTGGCCAGGATCTCGAGGCGAATCCAGCGGTGGCGACGAGGGCCTCCCAGGAGGCCCAGAAGGGGAAAACGGGCGAAGGGTAGCGGTGTGGGTACCTTCTCCTCCCCAGATATTCCCTGCGCGAATACCAGAGCACTTACGATAGCGCCTGCTTTGGGGTCTGTTGGAAGCCTGGAAATGGGCACCAACACCAACTCAGGGGGTTGCCTCCACAGGGGGGAGATGATCCTAGACTTCGGTGTTCAGGGCCGTTTAGTAAACGCAAATTGTCTGGCCTCTCCAAACCAACCCGAAGATCCGAGTGTCGGGTTGGGGGGGTAATTAGAGGTTCCACACGCGATTTCTCGATGCTCCCCGACGCCCCCCCCACTGGAAATGGAGGGCAGATCGGGGCCTTCGGGTTGGGTTGGGGTGGCTTGGTGGGCGGCGAGGAACTGGCTCTTGCGAATCGACGCTCGTCGACGCTAGTCGACGCCAAGTCGACGCGAATCGACGCTGGTCGAAAATCCGTCGACGCTAAGGTGGCGCTAAAGCATGGACTGCCAGACGCTGGTCGACGCTGGTGCACTCTGAAAACGGAAGTACGAGGGCGCACATAAGGCTCCCATGATTTGCTACCGAACGACTGCGTCTGGCCTCCCACGCTCTTGCTGCAAGCACGCCGCGCCAAAAAGCACAGGGGGCTGCTCGGAATCCGCCGCCGACGCTCGCTGGCCAGGGGCGGGAAGGCGCGTGAGGCACTTGGCTGTTCCCCCCTGCCCCTCTGCCCTCTCCCCTGGGGTCCACAATGCTGCGAATAGAGAGAGGGGGAGCGCGAGAGGGGCCCATGGGGGGGGGGGGTCGGGGGGGGGCGGTGGGGGGGCAAGCTCCTCGACACACCTCCAGGGCCCCCAGAGCCTCCAAATCCACCCTCCGCGGGCGCCGAGGTGGTCCACGTGCCTTCGAACATGGCTCCAGGGGGGCTCCAGCACACCACGAAAGGCCTCAAGAACACCCCGCAAGACGGCCTCAAGGCGGCCCGAGAGAGCCCCAAGAGGACCTCCGAAGAGGGCCTCAATAATCCAAAGCAAAAATGTGATGTATGCGCTTCAAGAATCTTAGCGGTCTCGTTTTGTTGTGCCTTCTGACAATCGAAAGCGGCCCGAGAAGCCCCCCAGTCCGGCCCAAGGCGGCCCAAGAGGCGGCCACAAAGAGGGCCCGGAGACGACCCAAGAGGGCCCCGAGACGGCTCCGAAGACAACCAAGAAGGATCACGAGGGGGCCCGGAGACAGGCCTCCCCGAGGGGGAACTCGCAGGGACCCCGGAGACCATCCCACACAAGAAACCTCCGGGACTCCTCCTCGTCCCCCTCCAAAGCCCCCTTATCCAAGAGGCAGCACCGCCAGGCCTCGCAAGAGGCCCCCCAAAGCAGCCCCGCGAGAAGAGCACGGAGGCAGAGGGCGCCGAAGCGGCAGACACGACGGCGCAACGGCGTAAGCCTCCTGTTGTTATGTTTGCTTCGCTCCGTTAGATAAGAGCATATGCATATACATATATACATATATATATGTACATGCTGTGTCTTTGTTCAAGAAACAGGAAAAGCCGTGATCCAGACACACACACACACACATCGCCCAGAGCAGCCAGCAAGGGGCTCGGTCGAGTCCTGCGGAGGAGGAGGACAGCCGTGCGGGCCCGCCCTCCTCTGCCCTCTTCTTTCTCGCCTCCTTCCTGGGAGGAGGGAGGGGGGCGAGGAGGCGGTGGTGGTGCATACAGGGCAGTTTTCAATACATTGTTTTTTATGGGATTTGAAATACATGACTAATGTATGAATAAATGTATGCATGAACTCATCGTTGTTTTTGATACTAAATCCCTGCATGTCTAATACATGACCCGCACACGGAGCATGGATTAAAAACGGCACTGTGTATGTGGGCCCCGAAAACTGCGCATGCCCACTGACTCTGCTTCGAACTCTCTGTACATTGACCGTTTGGGCGATCGGAGAGCGCCGACGATACACCTAAAGCGATCCTGGCCAGGCTGGGGCCAGAGGAGGTGTATGGTCTGAGTGTCCCCCGATGACCCCTGGTGATTCAATAAACTGCTATTTCAACTGTTACGACGAGTTCGTGCTTCAACTAGTGCGGACACTGACGATACAGCTACGTTGAATTTGTTGTTTTACGTAGTTGGGTCAGTTGGGTACGGACAGTCAACCATCAGCTCAGCAAAATAGTTGGATGTGTTCCAGAGTTGCCGACAAAGAAATCGGGCGAGCGGAAACACTGAGACATTGTGCAAACTCCAGTATTTCGAAGTTGCCAGGGGTGGCCAAAATTGCCAGGGACGAGTACAGCTAATAGACAACAACTAATACAACCATACACCGAACCGATCTGGGCACTCACTGCAGTAGCTGAACTGTTCCCGCGAAGGAACTGAACTGGTTGAACTGCTTCAGGTACTTCTGGCAAATAGTCGCACTAGTCGGGCCGGCACGTTGCAGGAGTCATCGGGGCCACGCAGTACAGAAGTCGGCGTCTTGGATGCCCCGAGAGGCCCCAAAGAGGCCCCAAGATGCCGCCAAGAGGCCCCCAAGAGGTCCCAGGAGGCCCCCAGGAGGCCTCCCAGAAGACTTCAAAAATGCCTCCCAGGCGCCCTCGAACGGCTTCTGAAAAGACCCCAAGAGGCCTCCCAGAGAAGCATCTTGACGACGACCCTGTTTGGCCCCAAGAGCAACACAAGATGCCAACAAGAGGCTTCCTCCTCCGCCCCTTCCTCTTCCTCCTCCTCCTCCTCCTACTTATCTTCATCCTCCTCATCTCCTTCTCATCCTCTCCTCCTCCTCCCCTCCCCTTCCCCATCCTCATCTTCTTCCTCCTCGGCGGCGCCACAATGGCCCCGGGCCCACGGCGAAGCAGTAGCGATCATGCAACATGGGCCGGCGGAATGAGCGAAGCGATTGAATAAGAAAATAGCCTAGCAATGCTCACAACTACTCACACATGGTCAAAAAAAACGTCCCCTGACATTTTTAGCTATTCTTGGATATTCCTCCTTGAAAGGGACATGCCCGACTTACAGCGTCCCTCCGCCCCCACTCGCAGCCCCCTCGGGCGGGCACGCCTCCATCTCCACCTCCGCCGCCGCCCCGAGGGTCCGGCTGCGGAACTCCTGCGCGCGCGCGAGACGGCCCCAGGGAACCGCCTGGGCGCGGGAGGCGGCGGCGCGAGGGGGGCAACGGCCTGGGGGACGAGAGCGAGCGGGAACGAAGCTTCTGAAGTAGGTCGGGCATGTCCCCCTACGGGCGGATTTTGGACGAGCCATAAGATAATAAAAAATTGTCCCCTGACTATGTTTGGACTTTTTGTTGAACGTTCCTCCTGTAGAGTGACAGGCCCCACTAGACGAAGAAGAAGAAACGGCATAAGCACAAAATGTTGGCGCTCCGCGCGGATTTCTTGGATCTGCGCTGGACCCCCCCTCCTGGCGCGCGGAGCGCCAGGGCCGGCGCCAGAGGCGCCGCCGGGGGGGCCCAGCGCAGGTCCCAGCAACCCGCGCTGCGCGCCAAAGTTTATGTCTACGCCGTTTTACCTTCTCCGCGCTTCGAGGCTCATGGCTTCCAGGCGGTCTCGTTGGTTCTCGGCGCGACTTGCCAGCCTCGGGATGCCTTCCACTCGGGAGCGGCCAAGAGGGGGATGCCCACGAGGGGGGGGTGCAAATCATGACCGGCGGCATGTGCGCGGCCCAGCGGGTGGGCCAGGGACGTACTGAAATAAGAAGAGGCGCCATGAAATCTGGGGAAATATCATGGCCCCCGCCATGATATCCACCCCCCCCTAGTCATCACCCCCCTCTTTTCCGCCCCCGATCCACCGACTGCGCCTCGCCGAGGGCGTTCCCGGGGTTCCGGCATCGTCCCCGACGGCCGCTGGAGGCCCGAGCCGTGACCCGAAAGCCACCCGGGGACCGGCGCAGGGGAGGAAGCCTCGGCCCGGCAGCGGCGATGCCTCGCCGATGGCTCGGCGGG